AAAAAAAAAAAAGAAAAAGAAAAAGAAAAAAATCTTAAGTCATGGGTGGAGGGCGGTAGTGGGGTGCAGAAGAGACTTTGTAGACATTTCCTGCATTTTTTTAAAGAAAAAAACATTTGTAGACATCATTTTTCCTGTTGACAATTATGTTCTTCATATATGAAAGTGAGATCTATACAGGACAACAAAAACTTTCCTTAAAAATGAAAACTCATAATGACAACTCATTGGCAATGAGCACTGCTAGAGCTCAAATCGTGGTCTCTATATAGCATTCCCCATTAAGGAACAGTTTGGAAGGATGACTCCATTCTTGCAAAGGGTATCTACAAGATAAGGCTGGGGTATCTTGTGTTTGAAAGAAAGTAAACTATCAGAATAATGAAGTTGTGTCAAAATGACTCAGGACCAACGTGAAATGGTCCTTACTAGCCTTGTTTAGGATAATGTAAGCACTAAAAACAATGATTGCAAACTGACTAAAATATGCAATGTACATGAAAATCCATGAGTTATATGAGTAATTCTCTATATGTATGTTACTGTTGTTCCCTAGAAGAGTTTTTTTTTTTTTTAAATGAGTTCATAATGAAACTCAAAAGACAAAAAAAGCCAAACAACAACAACGAATTCATCAGCAACCACTGGAGGAAAGTAGGGCATAAACTCCTCATTCTAATATTCTAAAATTGTCAATTAAAGGGAAAGAACTAATCGCTTACCCTGCCTTTCCTAAAATAATTGTTTTTCAAAATAATCCAATAATTGCCCTACTTGATAAGAGAATGCTTTCTTTATAGATGCTGTCCATGAGAGCTGGTAAAATTAGAAAATCATGATTTTGCAATCTCTAATGAAATAACTGATTCAAGATCAAAAATGTTCAATAGAAGAAACCATGAGATAAAAGACTGCTAGCAAACCATGATGCAGCCACCAACTGAATCTTCTGAATCTTCGTATCACTAAAAGTGAGACATCCAAACATGATGTTCTTTCTGGTGTGATACATATGAATTGCACGGCATCACCTAAGAAGTTGAACCAAGATCTAATCAAGTCTAAAGAGCTAACTTCCACTTTACAGGAAATATGGCAGACAAAAAAAAGTTTAAATGACATCACAAGTAAGTAGTCAAAGAAGTCCTAAAAAATAACTTGCTCTAAAATAAGTCAGTGGCATAATGAGTATATATACAGCGAGATCACTTTGAATTAAAACAACAGACGATGAAAACACAGCGTGTGGACCTTGTTTGGATATGGATTCAAACAATTAAAAACATTAAAAACATAAAAACAAAAACACCAACATTTTTGAGACAACTGAATGAAGTAAATATGAACTAGTTAAATATGGACGATTCTGAGAAATTTTGTTAATTTATCAATCTGATAATAGCAAACTTGTAAGAAAATCACTTTTAGAAATGCATATGGAAGTAAAATAACATGATGGCTGAATTTGCTTTAAAATATTTCAGAAGAAAAAAGAAAAGAAAAGAAAAAGGGT